CGCTCGGAAAGTGAAAATATAATTTGAATCTATTATGCAGTGAATTTTAGAATATTTATGTAACCGAGTAAGAATTATAGAGGCAATAGTTTACTAAGTGTGGCGGGTAAAGTGTGTGGCCGGATTGAGTCCAGGAAATTACTGAAAAATTTATCAATGAGCAAAGTTGTGTTCTGTGAGGAGGAGGGAGGGGGGGGGGGGGTTGTATATTAGACATTTACACTGGGAATGTAGAGAACGCAAGTGACAGACTGTAATGTTATCTTGAGGTTATCTTGAGATGATTTCGGGGCTTTTTAGTGTCCCCGCGGCCCGGTCCTCGACCAGGCCTCCACCCACCCAGGAAGCAGCCCGTGACAGCTGACTAACACCCAGGTACCTATTTTACTGCTAGGTAACAGGGGCATAGGGTGAAAGAATCTCTGCCCAATGTTTCTCGCCGGCGGCTGGGATCGAACCCAGGACCACAAGATCACAAGTCCAGCGTGCTGTCCGCTCGGCCGACCGGCTCCCCACATACAAATGCAAGGCCATTTGCAAATGTGCACAAAATGTGAATGGCCTTTGTGAACCTGGATAAAAACATACGACAAAATTAAGAGGTATGTCTCTGGAAAGTAATGCGGACGAAAGAGTTCTGATAAATGTTGTGTAATTTGTTTACCCAGGAAGCCCCCAGGAAGTCCCCAGGAAGCCCCCAGGAAGTCCCCAGGAAGCCCCCAGGAAGTCCCCAGGAACCCTGTTTGAGTTTATGGTGTAGACTGTTTATATATTTGTGTATCCCTGATGTAAGAATATTCGAGAAAGGTGTTTAGACTTAATGCGAGTAATTGAAATATGCCATATATGATACATTTAAATGAAATAAGAGTTCATTTAGCAGTGAAAAAAGATTTACGCAGACTAGTAAAAAAATTGATCGATTTGTGAGAGAAGATCTGTCTGTGAATGTTGACATAAGCAAATTTATGGTGGCGGAGAGAGAAGGAAATTATGCATGTGAAATATATGTGAATTTTGAAGAGCTGGAAATGATCAACTACATGAATATTGTATGTGGAGCTCAGGTTGAGAGAAGGTTGAGTTGGGGAAGGCTGCTGCCTTATGATAGGACAAGAGAAGCAACCATTGCGCTGCCTGAAGTCATGGTGGCGACTCATACACACGGCTCTCAAACCATGGAAGGAAAGTGAAAACTTAAAAAAAAAAAAAAATGCTGAATAGGAATCGAGTCTGAGAATCCTATACAGTGTTAGGAGAAAATATAAAGTACGGAGAGCAAAAGTCGCTAAATATCAAGACTGAGGAGAGCAGGCAGAGATGACTTGACATTCCCGCAGAGCACACTACACCTGGCCCTATGGCGCGGTGGTGGGGTGCTGCTCTGGATAATTGATGGCGTGGGATGGAGCGTGTTTATCCCTAATGCTGCTGCACTCTATGGATACTTTTGATATCGTTCGCCTTATGCGTTTTTGTATTGGCATCCTTGGTGATATTTAGCGCCCTCTGATTATCCCGCACATTTGATGGTGCTACATAAGCCTTCCTGGTTTGGTGCCTTCTATTGATAATTACTTGCTCTATAGACACTGAATGATGTAATGAATTGACGAGTGACAGACACTTGGCAATATCTATAGCCTTTTTCATTGTGTATTTCCCTCTTTTCACTGGCCCTCTCACATCGTTACAGTTCAGGCTAACAACTTTGCTTGTTTTACAATCAGCATAGGAGACACTACGGGCTCACCATAGCCCGTGCTACTTGGAACTTTTTGTTCCAAGTAGCGAATCTTAAACAACAACAATTAAACAACAATCAGCATAATTTTTTTTCGGCCGTTTCAAATCATAATAGATTCAATTTCAATAAATGTTAAAAAATTCTTGCATTTGACATTTAGCATAGCGTCCGGTTTACATGTATCTACTACATGAATTACCTGCGTCAGGGGTGACTATGAACAAATAACACAACTGAGCCTTCATTAATAGCCTCGTCATAAATTTGCCTCTTCTTTAACAACGAGAAGATCACTGACTGTGACCATCTGATAATCTTGCTGCATAACAGGCATTAAATCCCCAACAGGTTCTCAAAGCCTTCAGCGGTATTTAGAATTGGGCTAAAATAACACATTGTATCTGGGAGGCAATGGTCAGTAGCCTGAAAACTGCGGCGTCTCACTCGTAGTTCTAGAGGTGTTGATGGTACTGACACTACCTTACAATACTACCAGTATGTTAGGTTAGATTGGTAGCTTTGATTAAGGCTCATTAATCCGGCTATTTAATGAAGCCGGATTATATTAGATGTTATATAGTTGACTAATTTCTAATATAAGTTAACATGCATCTGTTATATTAGCCGGCTGCTATATATATTTAAGTGTTATACAGTAGACAACTGATACATAACAATTTTCATGATTTACCAAAGTAGTCCAGCCCTAATTTCCTATCCTAAAGTACAATTAAAATATCTTGAATGGCAAGGAAGGAAGATTAGGGGCCAATGACACCAATACACTAAATCCTTATATCTTTCTTTGGAGCCGCTCTTTAGCAATTCAAAAAGGATGATATAAATGCCCAGGTGGTATTGCCCCCTCGCCATATTAGACCTACTTGGCCTTCAACACAGTGGACTAGGGTCCCGGATGATGACGTAAGCAGCGTCCCCTCCAATGTTGTCCAATAACACCTGCCGACATCTGTGCTTCAGCATGGCGCAGTCTTCCTGTTGCCTGGCTGTACAGGCGTTACTGCTCCAGGGAACACGTGAGTAACAAGGAACCGCGTGTCAATGTTACCAGGGAACACATGAGTAACAAGGAACCGCGTATCAATGTTACCAGGGAACACATGAGTAACAAGGAACCGCGTATCAATATTACCAGGGAACACATGAGTAACGGAACCGCGTATCAATATTACCAGGGAACACATGAGTAACAAGGAACCGCGTATCAATATTACCAGGAACACATGAGTAACAAGGAACCGCGTATCAATGTTACCAGGGAACACATGAGTAACAACGAACCGCGTATCAATGTTACCAGGGAACGCATGAGTAACAGCGAACCGCATATCAGTGTTACAGATATGCGTCGTATTTTAAGTCTGTGTAACAATTTCTTTCGAACTGTCATCGTAATAATTCCACTTATTTCATAAGTGCCATGTACCTCGAGTTCTTTATTACTGCCCTGTCGAGCTATGATCGTTCCAGTAATAAGGCGGTGCTTATAATAGCCGTGTGTGTGTGTGTGTGTGTGTGTGTGTGTGTGTGTGTGTGTACATGTGTACCCCCACTTCGTCAGTCATTGTGCTGTACATGCTTCAGCCCACCTACTGTTAGTAGCATAGATGCTTAATACATTTATTATCTTAAATGATATATATTTATTGCGCTATCATATGTCTTCCGCAGCATTTGATGCAACCTAATTTGTACATTATAACGTGGGGTTTACAATGCTGACAAGTATATTACACAATGTTTTACATAAAATTGTTTTAACTGTAAATAACGTAATGCTTAATCATTTGGGCTGGACGGTAGAGCGACGGTCTCACTTCATGCAGGTCGGTGTTCAATCCCCTGACCGTCCAATTGGTTGGGCACCATTCCTTCCTTCCCGTCCCAAATCCTTATCTTGATCCCTTCCCAGTGCTATATAGTCGCAATGGCTTGGCGCTTTCTCCTGACAGTTCCCTTCCCTTCCCCCTGTGCATATAATGTATTAATAGTCATGTACATTATCTGTTTGTATAATCCAATAATAAAAGTAATATTATAATTTAGTTTCTATTGTTCAATCTCCATTTATAGCCTCTATTATTACAGATTAAAATTAGGATTTATACAAATTAGATAGAGCATACAAAATTAACATTGATTTGGGATCAAACAAAATTTGTTGGAGTTCTTGTTTTCTGCCAACCCAGGATACAAGACTGTATGCTCAGCCTGGCTGGGGTCACGTATGTGAGCCATAGTGTCCTGTCATTCTGCTGCCCCTTGTACCCTGTCTACACCTGCTGTTCCCTGCCTACACCTGTACCGTCTACACATCCTGTACCCTGCCTACGCCTGCTGTACACTGTTTACACCTGTACCCTCCCTGCAGAAGAACGCCTCCTGCACTCTGGCTACACGTCCTGTAACCTGCCTGTACTTGCTGTGCCCTACCTTCGCTTGCTGTATTCTTTCTGCATTTGCTGTAACATGCCTGTACCTGCCGCACCTTTCCTACGCTTGCTGCAGACTCTACACTCTGTCCACATTCTACACACTATCGTATTACCCAGCTGAATACGATAACATTTTTTGGAAACTAAATATTTTCTCTCACTGTAAAAATGCGGACCACCAAATCTGTGTAATAATTTAAACCATTACGGTAACACGTCAACGGTATTTACATTCCAATGATTTTAAAGTAAAATGTCGACTGTAGTCCAGCACTATTAATTTTTACAAACCAGTATCACATATAAATGTATATATATTTAAATTTATCACATATAAAACTTAAATATAGTACTATGTGGTCGAAGGGTTTTGCCCTCTGTGGTATCGAACCCTCGGCACCAACAGTGATTGGGATGTAGAGTATTAGCGGATCATGTTCTGGGGAAGACTAGTAGTAGAACACTTTATAATGGTGTTGGGGGGAGGGGAATGATCTGACTGACACACAGGAGTCGATAGGCTTCTCCTTTGGACCAATATCAACTCCAGTGAAGGATATTTAACATTGACAGCTGACGATGTTAATAAGATGTTATTTCTCTAAAATTCCAACAATTTAAAAAATCTCAGCTGTTACAAAAACACAATTCTGTCAGAGCCGTTCAAGAACGAAACAGTTGCCGCCTGCCTTGTTCTGCTTCATGAGTAGATGTATTAACCTACAGCAGGAGGGAGATGGGGGTTGGGACCTCCAAGACCAAGACTTGGAGGTCTTGATGAACATAATACAACTCACCCTTTGGAGTCTCTGGAGGGGAGGAAGGGTGGTGGTGAGCGCCGCCACCGTGTCGTCTGTTGCAGCCACAGGGGCGGACCTTGCTGCGGGCCTCTGTGGCAAGGACGGGGCCCTGGGGGCTGGTCGTTGTCCTGGTGGTCGGTCCTGTAACCTTCTGGCCGTTGCCAGCCTTCTTGGGTGTCGGAGATCTGGTAGGGGAGGATTTTCCTGACACGGGGCTCGTGGGAGTCTTGGCCGTGGGGGAAGTCTTAGTGGGAGTGGAGACAGCACCCACGTTAAGGGTAGTGGGGCGGCGCCCCTTACTACCGGCTGCAGAGGGCGGTGGCGAGGCACGCTGGGAGGCAAGTGAGGCAGGCGAGGCACGCTGGGAGGCAAGTGAGGAAGGTGAGGCACGCTGTGAGGCAGGTGAGGCACGCTGGGGGGCAAGTGAGGAAGGTGAGGCACGCTGTGAGGCAAGTGAGGAAGGTGAGGCACGCTGGGGGGCAAGTGAGGAAGGTGAGGCGCGCTGGACACCCATTATGACGATTGAGCTGAGGGAGTGTTTAGAGGAGCACTGGACTGCAGGGTGGCAGGTGACTGATGGAGAGAGAGAACACACGTGACGCGCTCGCTGTACACACCACCTGATGCTGCTGCCTTCACCCGCAACGCTCTCATGCACACTGCTCTGTTGTACGTCGCTCGGCCCATACCCCACCCCCGCTCAACACGCCCACGGCCCCTACCGCCTTCCTCACCACGCCCACTGTCACACTGCCTCCCTCACAAGCCCACGGTCCCCTACTGCCTCCCCTCACAAGCCCACGGTCCCTACTGCCTCATTTACGACGCCCAAGTACACAAAGCCTCACATAGAATCTATACACAAGCCGATTAAGTGTTGAAGAGTCACGTCACTGCTAAAAAGGCCATTCATGTATGTTTAGACTCCTGAAATCGGTTTCCATACTTGGATTTGTACGCAGTCATTCATGCAGCAGTACGCAACCGTTGGGGATGATCATTGGTCGAGCGGTACCAATAACAAACTGCGTAGTATTAAGTGTAGCCTATTCCCATGGCTTCCCCACCACCGGAGACGCCTCTGGCTAGGCTGCATATTGGTCACACAAACTTAACTCCTGGGCTGCTACATATACTTTCCCCGGCTTGGGTCCTTTTTTGATAATTACTTAACTCCTTTAGCAGTTAATGGATCAACGACCGGGACCTTAATTGTCCGAACTTCATTGTCCTGCTCACAGTTGTGAACCTCCTCGTAAAATGTTCAGATTTTCGGGTTGATCAAAGTCGATCTTGTTTTCTCATTGCTTCGGAAGTCGCTTGTGCTTCAGTACATTCCTTGGTGAATTTGATACTTTTTGACATCGCTCGTCTTTATGTTCGTTTAGCCCCTTATTTACATCTTAAATGATGTCTCGGTCTTTCTAAATATTCTGTTCGAAAGACGGGTTGAGAGGCGGAACCCAAGAGCCGTACCTCATCCCCCACACGTACAACTAGGTGAATACAAGGGAAAGATAAAACTGGAGAATAGCATTAGCTGTATTATTGGGGAAATTTTTATGAATCTTAGTATTTTTTGTCTAATTTCGAACATTTATGCATTGATTTCTTGGTTTAAGATTACCTCACTAAAGCCAACCAACACCCTGACCCCCTACACTGCTCCCTTAAATATAGAACCTTCCTGTCCACTACCACTAGTCGCTCCAGCTGTACAGGTCTGTCACGACGAGGACTGTGTGTGTGTCCTGATGAGAGAGGCGTGGTCGCAGGAGGCGCCTGATGTGCCTTCCACCCTCCGTACACAGAGACTGGGATCCCTTGCCATCTTCCCAGCAGGGCGGTTCAAACCTGTGATGGATCACCGCCCTATCTCGTGTGTCCTGTATCATCCCACCACATCGGGAGACCTCCATCCATTAGCTTTTATGCTGTGGAAATTCATTTTAGTCCGTGTATGAGATTCGTGTACAGTTAAGTTAATATTACTTACGACAATGCATAAATTAGCATACATTATTCCGGTAGATATCTTCTTCACATTCGGTGAAAGTCAAAACACCCTGTAGAACACATGCTGCCTGTCCCTGTATAGAGAACACCTGCTGCCCACTCCTATATACAGAGCACGTGCTTCGCACCTCTGTATACCCAACACCTGCTACCCAACCCTATCTACAGAACACCCGCTATACTAACCCCCCCCCAATAGATAATATTCACCCGGGGCTTTACCCGGCCAGTGATGACGTCAGTCTTCCCGCCATTATCATAAAAAATGGACGAGGGAGCTCTACCCACACCCTAATGTCCTTCCTGTTGTTGTCTCAAGTCGTAACCCTTAAGGGATTAGAGTAGGCGGGCGTGAAGGAGGAATAGGTAAGCATTATTAATGTTGAGGGCGCTCTGTGAGTCCCATGTCACCAAGGATGGAGACGGTTCTTGACGATTAGGTAAATAACTAGGTACCTTATGGTCGTAAATACAGATAAATGGCGATAATGCGTTTAGTATATTTCCAGGGGATGTTACATGGGTTTGGTCTGCGTTTCTGTTTCATATCACTTGTACACACCAGAGACTTGGGTTTCTTCATACTGTAATACATAATTTTCTATATACTGTAATGTGTACTTTTCTTCAAATTGTATATAGGTTTGTTCATACTGTAATGTATTACTTTATATAGCAATCAAATGTATTCATATTGTAACATAATTCTTCTCTATTCTGTAATGTGTTTTCCTTCATACTGTAAAAATATGTAGGATATATGTATATATAAGTATATGCAATGCAAGATAAAAAATATTGAAATGTTAAAATGCGGAGTAATCACAATTAAAATCAGATTGAATAGGTTTCACAATGTCACGGCGATGTTAGCAGCCTAACTCAGCCAAGCTTCAGTGGGAGTCCATGCCGAGTTACCGTTATTAGTTTCATTAAGAAACAATACAATAGCATATCCTAGTCGTTGCTAGAGCCTAGGTGAAGACGCCCTTATCGACTGTACCGCAATTGTAAGGCGATAAATTCTTAGGGATTTTCACGCCATATTAATTTTACTTTTCGACATAAAGTAAATGTCTGAGAACCCACGCAATAAATCTACAAAACTGTAATTGATAAAGGAAGATTAAATAAAATATTAGATAATTTAGACATTATTTCCATGTTCATTACTTCTGGTTACTGCAAGGCAAAAATGCAACATTTTCCGTACAGTTATCTGGATAAATGCATATTTTTCCCTTGAGCAGCATAATAAAATATCTTAAGTGTAGTTCGAATAAACAAAGGGAATAGAAACCAATTGTTCTGGGAAGACGACCCTTGTGCCTGGCAACATATGCGTGTACTGTAGAAGACGACTTTTAAGGTAATAAGTATTACCTTAAAAAGTATTAAGAATTGGTTTGGATGATATTAATAATATAATAAATAATATTAGTAATATTTTATTTTTCAGAAACACAGAATCTCAATACATAGTGATTAGGTTCTAGAGTATTTGTATTTTATACAAATTCACTAATTAATCGCAGCGTTTCGGCCGTCTCAAGAGTGTATTATTTGTATATTTGTATATTAATATGTTATAGCAGATTGGGTCTCGTCCCAATCTGTTTACCCGCGGTTGTATGGGTTCTGTCATGTGGGAGCTGGTGGATGATGTATGGGTTCTGTCATCAGTGGATGTTCTGGCATATGAATTCCCTCACTGTCCTATGAGGGAATCGAACCCAAGTTAAAAATAAAAAATAAAAAAATAAAACTTAATGCATTAAGTTTTATTTTATTAAAGCGCATTCGGGTTCACAGCCGAAAGGTCCCGGGTAAATTTATCGCGGCAGGACAGAAGCGTTTGGGTAACGTGTCCTTTCTCCTGATGTCTGTATATACCTAACAATATCTAGGTATTTTATCTATATACCTACTTAGTTATTTTTCTTTCCTCTTTTACCTAGTAGTTTTAGGAGTTTTAGTTTTTAGGAGCTCCTAGTTTTAGGAGCCGGTCGGCCGAGCGGACTCCTAAAACGGGTTCAATCCCAGGCGCCGGCGAGAAACAATGGGCAGAGTTTCTTTCACCCTATGCCCCTGTTACCTAGCAGTAAAATAGGTACCTAGGTGTTAGTTGTCACGGGCTGCTTCCTGGGGGTGGAGGCCTGGCGAGGACCGGGCCGCGGGGACACTAAAACCCCGAAATCATCTCAAGATAACCTCAAGAAGAGAAATCAAGGCCACAAGGCTAACACAGCAAACCAGACATGACAATGCGGAGCTCATCGAAACTTTAAAAAAAAAAAACTGAACAATTTGGCGGATATTGATCCAGATAACTGTTTCAGACGGCCAGATGTAACACAAACAAGGAGCAACAGTTTCAGGCTCAATAAGCCAAAATGTAGGACAGAAAATAGGACATCTTTTTTTCACCCATAGGGCTATAAACCCATAAGGTTTGGGTCCCGGTAGTAGATTCGGGGTTGGGCACGTTTCCTATCACCTGCTGCCCCTGTCCACCTAGCAGTAAATAGGTACCCGGGAGTTAGTCAGCTTGTTGTGGGGTTGCATCCTGGTGGGAGGGGGGGGGGGGGCTCGATATAAGCCTAACATGTACTCAATGTATAAACTGTCTGCCTGTCCCCCCGACACAATTAAAATTATAATAATAAACCCGTGGAACTGCCTACCCGCCGAAGCCGTAAAGGCCAAAACATTGCTCAAAATCCAGCTTGAAAACCTTATCATGACAAATAGCGGACGTTTGATAAACCGTCGGATTCCTGTCCTCGTCAAGGCCACTAGAGTGTTAGTGGCCCTCGGGTAAATTCAGGTTAACAGGTAGCCGGGAGTTAGTAAGCTGTTGTGGGTTGCATCCTGGTGAAGGTCAGTAATTGGCCTAAAGGGACCTTCACAAACCTAACAATTTAAATGTATTTTTTGTGTTTCATTATAGACAGTATTTAAAGTTAACCATTAACCGCAACCACCATTTTGACATCCTCTCCTTGACTGCTTTGTTTTTATTATTTGTGTGTGTGTGTGTGTGTGTATGTGTGTGTGTGTGTGTGTGTGTGTGTGTGTGTGTGTGTGTGTGTTTACTATTTGTATCTGCAGAACGAGCTATTATTTAGCTCTTGGATCTCGCCTTTCTAACAATTTACTTTTCCTCTATTATGTCTAACTGCATATATTTCTCATACACACACACACATTCCTAGGAAGCAGTCCGTAGCAGCCTTGTAACTCCCAGAAGCCTATTTACTGCTAGGTTAACAGGAAAACCAGGGTGAAAGAAACTCTGCCCATTTGTTTCTGCGTCTCCCGGAGATCGAACCCGGGATCTTAGGACTACGTCTCTAGACCACCGTTCACTCAGCCGCGAGGCCCCGTGTGTGTGTGTGTGTGTGTGTGTGTGTGTGTGTGTGTGTGTGTGTGTGTGTGTGTGCGCGCGTGTGTTGATAAGCCAAAACAGTTTAGTGTATAAAACGAATACTGTATTATCCGTATTCTTTAATGCTTATTCAAAGAAAATGAAATAATTTGGGTAACTATACTATTATATAACATGGAATATTCCGGCATCGGGAGTTGTATTTGTTGCAAAAAGACAAAAAAACAAAAATAAGATGCTATAATTTTCTTCTTGATTATATCAAATTAAGTTTCTATTTTTGATATAATGGCACGTAGATACAAAAATCTGAAATCCCA